CTGACTCAGAGATTGAACCTGCATCTCCTGCATTGGCAGGTGAATTCTTTTACTGCTGAGCCACCAGGGAAGTCTGTAAACACACCCAGATGCCATGAAAGAAAGGACCTTTTACTATCATCTTCCTTGCTGTTTCCATACAGGTTTGAAAAATTAGAGGAACATCACAGGAATGCAGTAAATATTTCCTGAGTGCTATGGACTGAACTCGGAGAAGGCAATGGCACCCCACTCCAGTACTCTTGCCTGGAAAATCCCATGGATGGAGGAGCCTGGTGGGCTGCAGTCCATGGGGTTGCAAAGAGTCAGACATGACTGAGGGACTTCACTTTCACTTTTCACTTTTATGCATTGGAGGAGGAAATGGCAACCCACTCCAGTGTTCTTGCCTGGAGAATCCCAGGGATGGGGTCGCACAGAGTCGGACATGACTGAAGTGACTTAGCAGTAACAGCGGTATGTACTGAACTGTGTTCCTCCAAAATTCACATGTTGTAGTCCTAACCCCCAGTCCCTCAGAATGTAATAAGATCTTTAAATAAATAATTTAATTGAGGCCATTAGGGTGGCCCTTAAGCCAATCTGACCTTGTCCTTATCAGAAGAGATTAGGATATATAAGGAGAGCTACTGGGGAGATACCCACAGAGGAAAGGCCATGTGAAGTCCGTGAAAAGATGACCGTCGGCAACCCAAGGAGAGAGACCCCTGGAGAAAACAACCCTGTTGACACTGTTAACAAAAATAATAAATGATCTGAAATAGGAATATAAACAAGTTTTATTTAAGCCAAACTGAAGACTAGAACCCAAAAGGCAGCCTCTAAGACAACTCTGAGGAGGTGCTTCAGAGCAGCAGGGTTTTCAGCCCAGTTTTATATCTTGGCAGAACAGAGAACATTAGGCAAATCAGGAGGACATTCCCTCCAGGTTTGAAAAAGCAGATCAGCCGGAACTCAGTGAGTCAGTGTGGCGCTGGCCCCTGGGAAGGGAGTCTTGTCCTCCAAGGAGCTCCAGCACTCGTGTCCCAGGAAGGGAGGCACTTTATCTTTTAACACAGGCAGCTTTTACTTCCGGTCAGCGTGCCCTTTTCTTTACTAAGTAAAGCAGATCTACAAGGTATGTTTGGTAGGCCACAAATAGGCTGTTTTAGTTGGTATAAAATTCAAGTTAACTCATGTATAAGCCAGAATGACTTCTCCATGAATCAATATATGAAAGTTTCTTCTATCAACACCTTCCTTGATCATGGACTTCTCAGCTCCCAAAACTGTGAGAAGACGGATTTCTGCCATTATTTTGTTATGGCAGCCCTAGCAAACTAATCCACTGAGTCAATAAACAGGATTCAGAAGAAAGAAAAATCTCCCAAGCCATGTGGATTGCCCTGGAGAAGAACTCTACAGAAAGCATTTGAGTTCAGGCGATGTAAGGCCATTAGAAATGAGCCAAGTCATTCTAACAGGGAGGTGGGGGGTGGGGGGGCTCTTACCTTTCTATCTGAGCAGAATGGTGGCCCAAAACATGAGCCGGCCCCCTCTGCCCCCCACCTTCACCCTGCAGGCTGGGAAAGGAAACAGATATGACGTTTCTCATCCTCTAAAGCCAGGCTTCCTATGAAGGCCCCACGACAAGGGGGCAAAATGAAATAGCATATTTTATGATATTTCTGCAAAAAAAAAAAGCCTCTATGATGGAGGCGCCACAACCTGGGTGAGCACAACCTGCCTTTGACGTGGCCCAGAGAGGCCCAAGGCCATAGCAAGGTGGGGCTGGGGTGGGGTGGTCGGATGTAGTTTGTTCCCCGGCATGACCCCTGAGCCGCCATGTGCAGTGATTCCCACACTTCACAGCACTTTCCCTGTCCTCCGGCGGCGTTGATTAAATTCAAGCTTCTTTCTCTGCCAAGGAAGCCAGCATCAGAAGGGATCCGGATGTAGTTTGTTCCCCGGCATGACCCCTGAGCCGCCATGTGCAGTGATTCCCACACTTCACAGCACTTTCCCTGTCCTCCGGTGGCATTGAGGTCAGCTCTGCCAGTTTTAGGTCTATGTTCTCAGGCAGGATGGAACCTTTCTGATGCCTGGTCTCAACCTCTGTAACAGGAAATAATGTTGTTCTGCACACCTCACGATGAAAACATGCAAAGGGGAGCTTGAAATTCAACACAAAGGAAAATCAGCATGCCACTGCTGCTTGTGTGTGTGAAAGCTCTTTAAAAGCAGCTGGGCGCTATACACAAACAGCGGTACGGCCACCTAGAGAAGAGCCCATCAGGGGTTAGAGGGTGTGCGGCTCTGCGGAGTGGGTGTCCTGTCGTAGAGAAGCTGGCTTCCAGCTATGCCAGGCACCAGACCAGAAGTCACCCTGTGGGTCCCTCTCCACCCCATTTCTCCCAGTTCACTCTATTTCCATTTACTCTGTCCTTCCAGACTACTTCCTGTCTTGCCACCAGACTTCTGAGCTTTTTGACTTTGTTCACCACCTTCAGAACATTCGCTCATTTCTACCTTTCCGAGAGTACCTATGTAGACTCTGCCCACTCCTATCTATCAGGAACACTGAGCTCAGAGGAGATGAGCAGGAGAAGCCTCTTCATGTGAAGGCTTGTCGACCTGGCTCACAAGGTTAGGTTCCAGCACAGACACTAGTTACATCTCTATACCCCACGGCCAAGTGGTGCCTCAGTAAATTACAAGATTGTGTCTTGATGGGCATGGCAGGTTGCAAATTGAGATCATTTCCAGGAAGATTCACTCTTCACTGAGCCCAGGAAAAGAGTCTCACTGCATAAAAAAAAAAGAAAGAAAGAAAATTTCAGAATCCCCCCACCTTCAATGTTGTTTTTAATCACTCAATTTCATGGACAGAGGAGCCTGGTGGGTTACAGTCTATGAGACTGCAGAGTCGGATCGACTGAGCGCATGCGCACACATTCTCAACCTTTATCGTGCCCCAATTTCTCTACCTACTGCTGATTCTCTGGTAAGGACCGAGATTTACCATTGTTCAAACCTTTTTTCTAAAATCTGATCCGGAACATATAATTCTGGCTCAGGCTGTCAGCTCCTAGCAGGTGGGGGCAATTTTCATCACCGTTAGTGCAGGCTCCCAGGGTGAACAGAAGGCTGCTTAAAGAGAACCCAAGGCTGCTTGAGCGATGAGAAAGACAAGCGTCTTGATAGTGAGGAAGAGGAGAAATACGATACTGGTCTCTTGTTATCCCAGTGCATCAGGTAAACACCTACTTAATCCTTGGCCTCTCCTCCCTGCAAATGCCTCCCCTGACCCCGTCCCTCAGGCCCTGGTAGGAAGGAGAGCCAGCTTGAAGGCCCAGACTCACAAGAAACTCTGCCTCTCCCATCTCATCACTTCTTGGTATTGGGATCCTGGTTCCCTAAGGCTTGGGCTTTGACCTTCTGACCCCATAGTTTAGACTTAACCAGGGTCTTTTTGTTTACAGGTATGACATAGTCAAGACTTCTTTCCTCTCATGGGACTTCAGGATACCAAGCAGCCAAGTTTGCTACTAATATCAGCCCTTCCTTCAAGTAAGTTGAGTAAATCTCCATGAGGTCAGAGGATCCCCAGGGTCCCAGGTCATTCTGCCTTCTCTTCCTCCTCATATCCATCATCCGCTCGGTTTAAGAAGGCTCAGCTGTGGGAAGAGGGGTCTTGGCTTCCCCTGTATTCCTCACCCCAGAATATCCTCCTAAGAGTCAGCTAGTCTTCCCCTGCATCCTTGGAAAATAAGTTTCCTTATCACCCGGAAGTCATGAATCCATGGAGTGGCCAAACATAGCAGAACTGATGCAAGAGTCCAAGGGAAGCTGCAGGTGTGTTTGTACTGGGAGGGCTGGTCCCCCTCCACCCCCTCCCTCTCCTCGGGAGGTATAAAGGCTCGCCACCAGCCACTCCAGCACACTTCTCCACCATGCATCCCCTGCTGATCCTTGCCTTTGTGGGAGCTGCTGGTGAGTCCCATGCATCGCTTAAGGTCCACTAGCCCCTCTCCTGGCAGAGATACACGCTTCACCACTCCTCCGGCCTCTCCTGCTCTACCTGTGTGTGTTCTCCCCTCCCTGGCCAGCACCCCTCCTTCCCACCCTGGGGCTCTTTATCCTTCACTTCTCTCACCTTCTGCCGGGTTCCACTCCTATCCCTCTCGTCCATCCATTTTGGGGCTTTGTTGGGAGAGGCGAGAAACGCAAACCAGGTGGAGATGGTCTGTGAAATGAGCCAGGCCTTAAGGCTTGGCCGTGACAACCATGGGTAACTCCACTCTAGCTGTTCCTGGCCTTGGATGTTCCTGGGGAGACGGAAGGTGACTTACCGTGGAGCTCTGTTTATTGGCCTGGGGGTGTGACCCATGCACTGACTTTTTAAGCTTCCTGAGTAGTTTTAAGATTCCCGGGTGTATAGCCACAGCTGCGAATCACTGTTCTATTGGCCAATAACCGTAACCACCTTTATCCTGCGCAAAGGGTGCCTGGGCTCCCTGCTCAGGTGTGAGCTATGGGAGGAGCTGGTACAGCAAAGCCAGGGCTTTGCAGCCACATCTCCCTGGTGAGGCCAACCCATCGTGGCAAACTGGGGCTGAAACTGCAGCGGGGAGTAGACTGGTGATGAATAAAAGGATAGAAGCAGCCAGTGGGTGGGAGAACCGCATTCAGACCCTCCGGTGCTGAGTGGGTTTGCTGTCCCTGCCCTGGTGCTTCCGGTGGAGGTCTGGGCTGGAGCCCCTGCAGGCTGCCTAGCTCTGCACCCTGCAGACACACAGCGACTCAGGAGAACCACCCGCTGGGAGACCAGCCAGGGTGGCCTTCCTGCCCTCCCTGTGCTCGGTCAGGAATCCTGATTAGCAGAGTCCAGCCACGGGGCTCGGGGCTCCACCCTCCTGCTGCATCAGCCTCTCCTCCCCTGTTTCCACTCAAGTGGCTTTCCCCTCGGACGACGATGACAAGATCGTCGGGGGCTACACCTGCGCGGAGAATTCTGTGCCTTACCAGGTGTCCCTGAACGCTGGCTACCACTTCTGCGGCGGCTCCCTCATCAGTGACCAGTGGGTGGTGTCCGCGGCTCACTGCTACCAGTAGTAAGTGCTGGGCCCCTGGCGACTAAGCCCACTGCCCAGGGCCCTCTGGGAGAGCTGGGGTCCGTCCAGAGCTCAGAACGATGATGGGGAAGAGAAGATGTGGGCAACAGCAGCTGACTCAGCAGGAGCTGTGGGTGAAGAGGGGCATTTGCCAGGCTTCTCTGTCCATGGGATTCTCCAAGCAAGAACACTGGAGTGGGTTGCCATGCCCTACTCCAGGGGATCTTCCCGACCCAGGGATCGAACCCGGGTCTTATGCTTTGGCTTGCACTGGTTCTTTACCACTGGTGCCACCTGGAAAGTCCCATAAAGAGTAGGCACAAACTATTTTGAAGGTGGGAATAGCCAGTTGGAAAAGCTGGCATAGACCTCACACAAATAACCCTTGCCAATTGGCTACATGTTAAAACCTTGTCAGATACATTTAAAAAAAATATATGATCCCTAGTTCCCATTTAGCTCAGAATTTTTAGGACGAGTCTGAATATTGGTGAGTTTTCAACGCTCTCTGCCTCTGGCAATTTTCTGCACTCCTGGGCAGAGCTGAGAATCACTGCCAAAAGCAAGGGTTCTCCAACCTGAATGCACGTAATAATCACCTGGAGGGCCTGTTACAACACAGGTTGCTGGGTCCCACCCCAAGTGTTTCAGATGCAGTAGGTCTGGGCAGAAGAGAGAATCTGAGTTGCTAATGCGTTCCCAGGTGACTGATGGTACAGGTCCTGTGACTGTTTTTTGAGAAGTGCTGTATTAGATCACAGATGATGCTAGTGGTAAAGAACACACCTGCCAGGGCAGGAGACGTAAGAGACACAGGTTTGATCCCTGGGTAGGGAAGATCTCCTGGAGGAAGGCATGGCAACCCACTCAAGTATTCTTGCCTGGAGGATCCCATGGACAGAGAAGCCTGGCAGGCTATCTGATCAAACTCTCCACGCCTGCGGTCATCAATGCCCGGGTGTCCACCTTGGCTCTGCCCAGCGCCTGTGCACCTGCAGGCACCGAGTGCCTCATCTCTGGCTGGGGCAACACCCTGAGCAGCGGCGGTGAGTGGGATCCTCACGTCTTCACCCTCTGACCTACCCACACTGCCCAGAACCGAGCATCGCCTGAGCTCGGCTCCAGTCTTTGCTTCCAGCCTACAAATTCCCGTCAAGTACCTACTACACATGCAGGACTCTGTGCTGGGTACCAGAGAGGGGCAAGTGTCCCAGACTTGAGCCCGAGAATCAAAAGACAGGACAGATGTGGCCCCAGCTCTAAGCAGCTTTAGAGAGGGGTCCACAGTGAGCCTGCTGGGAATTGAAATTCAATTTTTGTAAGGGGCCTCTCCTGGCTGCCCTCAGGGCTCAGCTGTGGGTTACCATCCCCCTTCCCATCCTAACCTACATTTTCCTTTTCTTGATCTCTTCCTGTTCCTCAAAGTCAACTACCCGGAACTGCTGCAATGCCTGGAGGCCCCGCTGCTGAGTCACGCCGACTGTGAAGCCTCGTACCCTGGACAGATCACCAACAACATGGTCTGCGCTGGCTTCCTGGAGGGAGGCAAGGATTCCTGCCAGGTAAGATGCCTGCCCAGACATGGCAGCCTCCTTGGGGGCAGGATGTAGAACACCCAGGGCCGTGGGCTGATGGCCCCCAGCCTGTGGCCTCTCTTCACAGTGAGAAGGGCCTGGGGCCCAGAGCCAATAGGAGCAGGGTCTTGTGAGGTTCAGACTGTGTGGCTCCCATTCCATTGTCTACTCTGTTTATAAAGCTTATCTCATCACTTCCTCCCCAGGGTGACTCTGGTGGCCCTGTGGCCTGCAATGGACAGCTCCAGGGCATTGTGTCCTGGGGCTACGGCTGTGCCCAGAAGGGCAAGCCTGGGGTCTACACCAAGGTCTGCAACTACGTGGACTGGATTCAGGAGACCATTGCCGCTAACAGCTAAAGCCCCGCCCCTCAGCCATCATTATGCTAATAAAGTGACTGTGCTCCACCTGCCCAGCTGTGTACCTGCTTCCTCAACCCCCACCCCTACTCTGGGAAACGTCCTCCCACCCGGGGTCAGACAGGGCAATACCCCTTACAGATGAGTGGAGCACCCCACTTCCCCAGTGTGTTCCAGGGCACACTGGTGTAACAGCAAAGTGAAAGTTGCTCAGTCGTGTCCAACTCTTTTGGGATCCCGTGGGCTGTAACCCACCAGGTTTCTCTGTCCTTGGGATTTTCCAGGTGAGATTACTGGAGTGGGTAGCCATTTCCTTCTCTGGGGGATGTTCCCAGCCCAGGGATTGAAGCCAGGTCTCCTGCATTGCAGGCAGATTCTTTACCATCTGAGCCCCCAGGGAAGCTCACATGTAAAGAGAAGGAAGGCAGAAAATATCATCAGGGAGAGGGGTTCCTGGAGAAACTTCGTTCCAGAAGGCTGCATTGGCCTTGGTTTGTCTCTGGTCATGAGTGCGGGGCTGATGTGTACACATGCATGCTCACATGTGCACATGTGTGGGGCATGGTCTGTAAGATCCCACACCTCCTCTCACTGGTCTCCACGCCTAGGGAAGCACCTGCCAATCACCTTGGCCTTTGCTGAGTCCCCTCCATGTCCCCAGCATATGCTCCCTCCTGGAAGCAGGTGGCCCTGCTGGCCCCTGTTTTCCCAGGACCAGCTCATGTGCCTGAGAGATGAGAGCTCCCTGGGTCTCTCTCCCTCCCACTCCTGAGAAATCTGCCTTCTGTTCTTCCCACGTGATGATACGAACACCCTCCTGAGTCCTTGATAGGCACTTTCACATTTAGTTCCCTCTACCTCTGCAGTGTTTATTATTCCGGAGACACAGACAAGGAAACAGAGGTTCAGACAAGGTTGTCAGTTCACCCACGTCCCTCGTCCAGCAAATGACAGATCTGGAGTTGGGCTCTGTTTGCCCGGCCCCCAAGCCCCACCCCTGCTTCCTCTCTCCCACCTCATGGGCCCTCCAGCTGCGGTCCGTCAGTCCTGCTCCTCAACATTAGTGTTTATTATTCTGGAGACACAGACAAGGAAACAGAGGTTCAGACAAGGTTGTCAGTTCACCCACGTCCCTCGTCCAGCAAATGACAGATCTGGAGTTGGGCTCTGTTTGCCCGGCCCCCAAGCCCCACCCCTGCTTCCTCTCTCCCACCTCATGGGCCCTCCAGCTGCGGTCCGTCAGTCCTGCTCCTCAACATCTCTCCAGCTCGTCCCCTGCCTTGCAGCACTTCCTGAGGGGCACTTATCTCCTTGCAGTCTTCTAAGACTGTGCTCAGAGGGGTCCTATGTGTTGTTTGCTTTCTGGTTAATACCTTTCCTGATGCCCCACAGCTTTTGAAGTACAAGCCAAGCTCCTCATCCCAGAGATGCACGGTTCTTCCGGCCCTGGCTCTGCCTGTGTTTCCAGCCTGGGTTTCCTCACCCCTCCCTTCCCCTGCGGTGCCCCAGGGCTCAGAAGTGCTGGGGGTTCTTTCAACAAGCCATGCACCTCTGACCTTCAGCTCTAGACACTACTGGTCCATTTGGCACGATGCCCTGTCCACCCACCTGTTCACCCTCTTCAAAAAAGTCCTTGACTCTTCCTGCTCCCCATTCTCTTCCCCACACCCCTGCACTGGCTCCATGACCCTCTGGTCTGAGTAAGAAGTCCTCATTCTCTTCCATGCTTACTTCTATCACAGTTCTGCTCATGCTGCTTAGTATATATAGATGTGCCTACTGTGGCCTTCAACCATGAGCTTCTTATAGAAGATGGTTTGTCTTACTCATCCTGGTATGTCTACGGATTAAACAACAACTGAGATATAATCGGCAGCCAGGGATTGAATGAATGAAGTATGAGCTAGAAGAAAAGGTCTTCCAGAAGAACAGTTCTCAAAGTGTGGTCCCTGGACCAGCAGGACCAGAATTGCCTGGGAATTTAGAAGAAACACAAATTCTTAGGCTCCACCCCAGACCTACTGAGTAGAAATTCTTAGATGGAGCCGAGCAGCTTGCTTTTAACAAGACTTCCAAGACATCCTGATGGATGTCAGAGCTTGATAACCAATGTGGTAGAGAGAGCCCTAGACCAGTACTGTCTGTGAAAACAGCAGTCACCAACACCTTTACTAACTATAGGCAGGCATATGACAAACCTTTTTGCATGTGTGCATGCTAACTCACTTCGTCGTGTCCAACTCTTTGAGATCCCATGGATTATAGCCTGCCAGGCTCCTCTGTCCATGGGATTCTCCAGGCAAGACTACTGGAGTGGGTTGCCATGCCCTCCTCCAGGGGATCTTCCCGACCCAGGGATCAGACCCATGCCTCTTAACATTTCCTGCATTGGCAGGCAGGTTCTTTACCATTATCGTCACCTGGGAAGTCCAATAAACCTTTAGGTGTATTATTTATGTCTCACAAGAGCTCCATAAGGAAGGTCTTATTTTATCATCATCATTCCCATTTTAAGTTAAGGAGTGTTGCTCAGTCATGTCTGACTCTTTGTGACCTCAAGAATGGTAGCCCGCCAGGCTCCTCTGTCCCTGGAATTCTCCAGGCAGGAATACTGGAGTGGGTAGCCATTCTCTTCTCAAAGGGATCTTCCCAATCCAGGGAACCCAAGTCTCCTTCATTGCAGGCAGTTAAGGAGACTGGAGTATTTTAAAAATCCAGTAACTTGCCCAAGGTTCTAAACAGAGGGTGTGGGAGGGAGCCCTCAGTCTGGCTCCTGGAGGTGAGACTGCCCGAGGAGTAGGGCGTCAGAGCTCCGGAGCAGCACCTGTGAGAGTCCCGGATCGGATCGTAAATGAGGAGACCCGAGTGCTGGTTCCAGCCCTTTCTCCTTGTCTCCTGCCACTTTGGGGGACCCTTTAGCCTCTTCAGATGTCAGTTACATCTGGGAAATTAGGAGACAAAGTTTGGGTTAAAAAAAATAAATTCGCATGCTTAAAAGGTTTAAAAAGTTACACATAGATGTTATTTGCGGGCCTCCTCCCTACCTCCCAACACCCACCTTGAAAAAGGCACACAGGTAACCAGCAAGCTTTCCCTTGGGTTCCCTGAGCGCTATGACATTCTTCTTGCCCCCTCAAGTGGCCACGCTGAGTGCAGCTGGTTAAGTCGAACAAAAAAATGAGGAAAGGCTGCTCCCTGCTGTCGAAGCTGAAGAAAGGCTTCACGTGGTACCTGCCTGACCTGTCTGAACTTCCACCAAACAAAAAGCTTCGTGGGCACTTGAGCTGCTAACAGTGTGACAAAGTTAAGATAGTCCCCATGAGAACAAAAGGTGGCTGTGGAACCTAGACGGGCGGTATTCTTTGTAAGCTTAAGTTGTCGTGAGAGTCCCCCGGTCAAAAGGAAACTCTAACTTAGGGAGTAAATTATTGAAGGATAAATACCCAGGGCAACTTTGTGCCTAATTGTTTATTTAAATACAAATTAATAAACCTAGAGACTTGGAACTCTGAACATCCTGGGGATTACTCAGAAATATGTGTTTTTCACCAGGCTCCTAGGTGACTGGAGACTCACTCAGCAAATTCAGTACCATGAAACAGCTTCTTATATAAACTGTTCTTCTTTGAAAAAAATGACTTTGTAAATGAAAACAGTCTTTTTTTTTACAGCGATAGATTTCAAAATATCACCTAAAGTAGTATTTTGTTGTTTTTCTTTTAAAATTTTATTGTTTTACTTTAGCATAAAATAGATAATATCTCTATTATCCATTTAAAATAAAATTGCTATCTATGGCTCAAAAATCAACACTATAAAGTTGACATTGAGAAATGTCAATTTTACTTACACTCTGTTTCTGTCTCCTCCATTTATTCTTAACAGGTAATCGCTTTTGCCCATCTCTTTTGTAAACTTCCAGTATTTCTTCATGTAGCATCAAACACACAGAAGTATGATTCTTATTTTCCTCCTTTGTTAGACAAAGGTCGCCTATAGAAACCTTATTCTACAGCTTATTTTTAATCCAGTTAACAGTATATATTAGAAAGCTTTCCATAGCAGTATAAAGCATTTTCATTCATTTTTAGTATTTGATAGTATTCTGGTTTGTGAATGTGTCAAAATTTATTTACCCAGTCCTTTACTGATGTGTACTGGAGTTTTTCCCAACCATTTGCTATTCCAAATAATGCAAATATTTTACACACTTGTTTTCATTTGTATGCAAAAGTAATTACAGGATAAACTTCCAAAGGTGGAATTTCTGGGTGAAAAAGTAAGAACATTTGTGTTATTTATGGTGGTGGTGGTATTAGTCACTAAGTCATGCCATAATATTTATAGATAGTTACAAATTGCTCCCATTAAGAGTTGTATTATTTAGCATGTCAGAGCATGCTAAGTTGCTTCAGTCGTATCCAGCTTCTTGCAACCCTATAGACTACAGGCCCACCAGGCTCCTTTGCCCTTGGGATTCTCCAGGTAAGAATACTGAGTGGGTTGGCATGCCCTCCTCCAGGGGATCTTCCCAACCCAGGGTTCCAACCCGTGTCTCTTTTTTTTCCTGAATGGGCAGGAGGGTTCTTTTATCACTAGCGCCACCTGGGAAGCCCATTGATAGAATGGTCTTCCACTATTCACGTCATCAAATTGGTGAAAACTGACATTTCAATGCCATTTTAGTTTGTATTTATCATTTCAAGACTTTTTTTTTTCCTACGGTTAAGCACCATTTGGATCTTTTCTTCTGAATCTTCTCATTTTTAATGCACTGCTGGATTTTTTTCTTATTGATTTCTAGAAGTTCATCAACATGAGATCAGCCCTTATGATAAGAATTGCTAATGCTTTCCCCATATTGTCATTTATCTTTGATTCTATATATGTTCCCCCTGCCAGTGTGTTATCATTATGTGGTCAAGTTTGTCTTTTTTTCTTCTAGACGTTGAGTCATAGTCTGAAAGGCCACAAAAGGAAGCGCCATCTAGTGAAATGAGATCATGACTACTCAACTGGAGTTTCAATTTCAAGGTCATCTTGTGCAGGGAAAATCAAATATTTGGCAAAAGTTTAAAATGTTTCTGCCCTTTAGGGAAAAGAGGGAGAAGACCTTGACTATGATCACGTGGCCAGGCGATTGTATTTAAACGTTCCTGAGGCTGTATTCACCCAGTTCTCCGCCTCTGTTTCCCCGAAAGCCCTTTACTGAACCCTGATGTCTGAAGTCCACGATGAGAAGGAGGCAGGTTACGACACACGTGGTTCCCCCCTCACCTCACACTGGTTAGAAATACAGCTCTGCCACCACCCCCATCGCCCCCTCAAGGTCATCGCAGGGCACCGAGCTGAGCTACCGCTGATTCACGTTGCTATTCAGCAGAAACTAACATGACACTGTCAAGCAATTATCCTCCAGTTTAAAAAAAATGTTTTTAAAGAGAATGCAAAAAAAGAAAAGAAATACAGCTCTCAGCTATGATTGAAGTCCACGATGAGAAGGAGGCAGGTTATGACACACGTGGCTCTCCCCTCACCTCACACTGGTTAGAAATACAGCTCTGCCACCACCCCCGTCGCCCCCTCAAGGTCATCGCAGGGCACTGAGCTGAGCTACCGCTGATTCACGTTGCTATTCAGCAGAAATTAACATGACACTGTCAAGCAATTATCCTCCAGTTTAAAAAAAATGTTTTTAAAGAGAATGCAAAAAAAGAAAAGAAATACAGCTCTCAGCTATGATTTCACCCCTGGAAAAGCTCTACCTCTGTGTACCTGGTGGTGGCCTGTTCTCTGGACCACCCTGGAGGTTCGGAGTTAGGCCGAAGGGGCAGCGCCTGGGTCCTGCGGTTCCCCATTCTCAGATAAAAGGTGTGACCTCTGGGTGCCTGGCGTCAGGGGCAGGCCGGGGATGAAAGGGGCTGCTCCTGTGACGACAGCCTGCAGAGGGGCGGATACCAGGGAAGGGAAAGCCCCGACACAAAGGCACACAGCTCGGAGGATCCGAGAAGGTCCTGAAGAAAGGGCGCGAGGTGAGGAGGGAGCCCCCTGGCCTCGTCCGTCCCCGCCCCCTACCCCGCACCACGCACCTAGGGTGCTGATGTCACCTCCTCGCCCTCCAATGCCCTCAGAGGGCCAGCGCTCTGGTGGTTCCTCCCAGACTCGCTCTCCGAGGGGCGGGCCCATGGGAGGGGCCGTTTTTGTATAAAGCTGTAACGTTGTGGGGACAGCGGGGCCACGGTGATTCAACCCTATGGGAATCCTTTACAAAAACCTTTCTGCCTGTCACAGTGCCCATCAACTTTCACTCTCCTCCTGGATCACTGGCCCCAGGGTGGCTTGGGTCGGAAGGCCTCCACCTCCCCCCAAACCATGGAGCAAGACAGGTCTGGATCAGAGCTGAAGCTTCCAGGCAGAAAGGCCAGATGTAAGAAGATGCCTCTGTGGCCTCATGGCCATGAAGGACTCAGGGAGACCCTTTATCCCACCCCTCACTACCTGCTACCTGCTCAGGGCAAGGTCAATGGGCAGGTTCATGGGAGGTGACCCGCTCTATGAAACAAGAAGTCAGCACTATTGCCAGCACCCACCCATGGATGCTCATGGGTGTCTGGGACCCTACCCGCCTCCCCAGGCCGCATCCCTGTGATGGACCCTCAGGAAGAATCAAAACAGGGGCTCAGGGCCTTGTGGATGGACTCTGCCCATGTTCCGTGGCCCCAAGAGTCAAGACTCAAAAATATTCTTTCGTGCAATATCCGTAAAGCACAGGAAAGGACTCCTAGTCCCAGGTCCACCAGACACCGACCCAGATCCTGTCTGCTCTGCCCGCCTCAAATTGCTTCCCTCCTTGCTCCGCTTCACTGTGTGAACACTGAGGTTTTCTTTGGAAAAGGCACCAGGCTCACGGTTGTAGGTAAGACACAGTCCAGGTCTTTCCTGGCCCCTCGGCCAGGAGGGCGGGTCCCAGGTGTGCGTTGTAGGGTGGCTGCGTTCTGATGTGTTATGACTATAACTTCGGCCCAGGGACCAAGCTGACGGTTGTAGGTAAGGCCGGGGTCTCCAGGTGGGTACCGTGAGGGAGCACCTCCTCCCAGGAAACGTGGGAAGAAAGGGATGACCCAGCTCCCGGGGTCCTGGGCCCTGGAAAGCTCTGGAAGGCTATGCGGGGTGTTTGAAGGGGGCTGGTGTCTTTGGGAGGGAAGAGATCCTTGAACTCCCCAGCCTCTCCCTGGATCCTGGCTGTGCTCAGCAGAGGAGGAGAGGTTTTAAAGTGAATCCTAGAGGCTTGGCTTTGGAGATTTCTACTTTTTGGGGGTGGAGGGAAGAAGACTCTCTGTTGTAGGTAAGCCAGCCAGGACTGGAGGGCTGGGAACCTGCAGGGAGGGGCAGAGTCCAGATGGAGCCTCTGTCTTGGGTGCCTAGGTTAAAGCATATGTTTATCAGAAAGATCTGAATTCCTATCTTGGTGAGTTCTTGTCTTGATGAGGCGGGCAGCCTCCATCTCCAGTAATTTCATGGGCGGGCTTGGCTAAGCCTGGTTTCCCTACCAGGAGGCAAGTAACCTCAATTAGAAAGGGGTCACCTTGTCCTTCTCCTGTCTCCTTGGGGGATGCCCATCGAAGCCATGGTAGATGGGAGAACCTCTGGCCTTGGAGTTGTCAGTCCTGCCATTTTTCTCCCTCAACGCAGAAAGGAGATGGACACAGGAGAGGCGGGTGGGGAGTCACACACTGAACAGATGTCAACCCCCTCCACCTCCGGGAGTTACAGTTCTGCTGAGGAAAGAAATAGGAGAGCTGCAGGTGGAGCGGGGAAGGAAGGGCTGGAAGGTGCAGGCGAGTTTCCCTACCAGGCTTTAGGGTTGTGTGACTAGTGAAAAACTCTATTTCGGCAACGGGACGAAGCTTTCCGTCTTGGGTGAGTACAGGTCTTCCCTGGGGACGGTGTGCTGTGAGGCTGGAGTTCTAGAAGGTCCCCCTAGAGAAGGCCGGGACTGAGGACACGGCGGAGGCTGAGGGTAGGGGTGAGCGGAGAAGGCGCTGGAACCCCAGAAGTGCTGGGGGGAAGGTCGTCTCTGGAAGGAAGGGCCCCATGTTAGCAGCCACTCTAGGGTTTGCCACACTCGTGTTGTGCTGTGGAGCAACCAGGCGCAGCGCTTTGGACATGGGACCTGGCTCGCCGTCCTGGGTAAGACGCAGGACCCGGGACAAAGAGTCACCGTCTCTGGGACCGGAGTGTCTGTCTCTCCTCTCTGCCCTGATGGAAGGGGGTCGACTAAACACTGATCCCCGTGGGGCTTCCGGGGAGCTGGGGCTGCCATCTCTTTATTTTTTAATATGCATTTTATTTACTCGTGGCTGTGCTGGGTCTTTGTTGCTATGCGGGCTTTTCCCTAGTTGCGGACAGCAGGGCCTACTCTCTAGCTGTGGTGCGCGGGCTTCTCATTGCGGTGGCGTATCTCCTCGTGGAGCCCCAGCTCTAGGCATTTGGGCTCAGCAGCTGTGGTGCACGGGTTTAGTTGCCCCGCAGCATAGGGGATCTTCCCCGACCAGGGATCAAACATATGTCAGGCAGACTCTTAGCCCCTGGATCACCAGGGAAGCCCCCTGTCCTTGCTTTAGAGGCAGCTTGGTTGATGCCTGTTTCTCCTCTGAGTCTTCCAACCACAAGCTGCCTCCTCACTCTTCTAAGTTCACCCCTCCTTCTTACTTGCGTGGATTGGCTAAGTTTCTTTCTCTTTCCCCCGTTGAGTGTGCCTAGGCCTTTCTTCTAGTGGCATCCCTTTGGTCCAGCGCCATGAACCCAGGCAGGAAAAAAAAATGGCCATTCCTGCTCTCGAGGAGCTAAGACTTTTGCCCTGCCTGAGGTTTCCGGGGGTTTTGCCACAGTCACCTACAGCTGTGGGCCTATAATTCGCCCCTCCACTTTGGGATCGGCACCAGGCTCACCGTGACAGGTATCGGGCGGGAAATGGGGTGCAAGGGCGTGGGGGGCCAGACCCACCTTTCCCTCCCGAGGGAGCACCTCCAGCTTGTGGCACTGCGTCTGATGCGGCTCCCCGGCCCAGGGCTCCAAGGAGCTGTGCTTCGACTCCAGCCTTGTCTCACTTTTTCTCTCGTTCTCCCGGGTCGCCTCTCGTCACTCCTGTTTTGGCAGGTGTGCTGTTTTGCTTTCCCTTTCTTATCTGATCGTCTCCATTCCCACCCCCATTCTAACTCTGATCCTGCACTGTCGACCCCCTTTTGGCCAAGAGCTCTGTCTTCTATGTTAAAACCTACCCCCAGCACCTCCCTCCAGCTCAGAACCCTGTCCTTGCTTTCCTCGTCCTTTGTCTATCCTTGTCTGTCCTTCATCCTTTCTCTGTCCCCACCAGTCTCCAAGAGCTACGTGTGTCGGCCTGAGGTGGTTTAAGAGACCGGGAGGCAGTGGGGGAACAGCTTGGGGAGACTGAGTTGGTCTGAGGGGGGCTCCTAAGCCCAAGGGCAGAGGTCCAGGTCACAGCATCACTTGAGCTTGCAGGAGTATCCCTGGGGAGCACTGCGCTTGGTGGGGGGTCAGAGAAGGTAAGTCTGAACAAGCTGTTACAACTGGAAACTTACACCCTTTTCGCAAGAGGCAAGGTAGAAGGAGGAGAAATAGGTTGGAGGCCCCGTTGTGTCAAACCTGAGGATCTGCGCTGAGATAATGGAGTCAGTGCTCCTGAGTAAACACTAACACACCATCACCAGCCTCAGGAAGATGCGGGCAGGAGGCAGGAGCAGGGCAAAGGTGAGCTAGGTCTGGGCTGGAGTTGTAGACACGGCCGGAGGAATGGGCCACTGAGCTCCTACCAGACCAGTCAGCTGGGGCAGGCTTTGCCCTGCAGATGGGAGCACGTGCCAGGGAGTGAGATGGAAATTGGAGAGTACAGATCATCGGGATTCAAAATGCATGAGTTTCTTGTCTCCCTTTTTCTCTCGTTCTCCCGGGTCGCCTCTCGTCACTCCTGTTTTGGCAGGTGTGCTGTTTTGCTTTCCCTTTCTTATCTGATCGTCTCCATTCCCACCCCCATTCTAACTCTGATCCTACACTGTCGACCCCCTTTTGGCGAAGAGCTCTGTCTTCTATGTTAAAACCTACCCCCAGCACCTCCCTCCAGCTCACCCTGTCCTTGCTTTCCTCGTCCTTTGTCTATCCTTGTCTGTCCTTCATCCTTTCTCTGTCCCCACCGGTCTCCAAGAGCCATGTGTGTCGGCCTGAGCTGGTTTAAGAGACCAGGAGGCAGTGGGGGAACAGCTTGGGGAGACTGAGTTGGTCTGAGGGGGGCTCCTAAGCCCGAGGGCAGAGGTCCAGGTCACAGCATCACTTGAGCTTGCAGGAGTGTCCCTGGGGAGCACTGCGCTTGGTGGGGGGGTCAGAGAAGGTAAGTCTGAACAAGCTGTTACAACTGGAAACTTACACCCTAAAACAAGAGGCAAGGTAGAAGGAGGAGAAATAGGTTGGAGGCCCCGTTGTGTCAAACCTCAGGATCTGCACTGAGATAATGGAGTCAGTGGCTCCTGAGTAAACACTAACACACCATCACCAGCCTCAGGAAGATGCGGGCAGGAGGCAGGAGCAGGGCAAAGGTGAGCTAGGTCTGGGCTGGAGCTGTAGACACGGCTGGAGGAATGGGCCACTGAGCTCCTACAGACCAGTCAGCTGGGGCAGGCTTTGCCCTGCAGATGGGAGCACGTGCCAGGGAGTGAGATGGAAATTGGAGAGTACAGATCATCGGGATTCAAAATGCATGAGTTCGGGCGGGGGTGGGGGGGGGGCGTGAGAAGGGGCTCTCGGGCAATGTGCAAAGTGACCTAAACTGCCTCGGGCCCTCTGAGATGTAAATATAAAACAGAGATGACAACGGTGGTCTCTTAGAGTTCTGAAATTGTAAGGGACTAAATCCTTATGGCAGGAGGAGAAGGGGATGACAGAGGATGAGATGGTTGGATGGCATCACCGACTGACTCAATGGACATCAGTCTGAGCAAACTCTGGGAGAGAGCGAAGGACAGGGAAGCCTGGCATGCTGCAGTCTGTGGGGTCACAAAGAGTCAGACATGATTGAACAACAAATCATGTGCAAATCCTTTGTAGAGGACTCAGAGGATGCAGCCATCCCTTTCATTTCTGTTTATCCTCACTGTGTCACAGACTGTCTTTTTCCAAACCGGGGCTCAATTTTCTCAATAGAATCATTCCCTGAACTTGGATAAAGTGGAGACATCTGGGTTTGCCACATTTCTGCTCCACAAACTCGCTCCCAGAACAGAGCTAAACAGAGGTCTCAGTGTACTTTGGCAACACGGAGGGTACTTGAATGGTAGATGTGTTTTTTGGTTTTACTTTACCCCTCCACGTCCTCACACGAGGGCCTGCCTTCCAACAATTTCAGAAATTCTCTCCCATCTGTCAGGCATGTGAAAGGGCCTGGAACCCTCTGATAAACTGGCCTTCAGACTTTGGGGTTTGTTCATTTCAATGCTTTTGCTGCTTTGAATATGATGTGTGACTGAAACTAGGATTCCAAAGTTGGTAGGGAGGTTTGGAAATAAGAAATAAGATAGGGTTCAACCTCAGAACAGTTCATTTTGTGGGGTTCCAGCCATCCTGGGCAAGCTCCCACACACCCCAGCGCCCGTGTAGGAGTCAGTTTAAAACATCAGATAGGATAATAGCCAAAGGCATATAGGCTTCACAAAGCAGCTTACATGTAAAATCAAAACAAAAGGTGGGGTCAGTATAATATAGAGAAAAGCATGTCAGCTGTAATGGGAAAAGTATCTTTTCTAGGGAAGAAAATGTATGCATGCTAAGTCACTTCAGTCGTGTCTGACTCTATGTAACCCTATGGACTGTAGCCTGCCAGGCTCCTCTGTCCATGAGACTCTCCACACAAGAATACTGGAGTCTGTCGCCATTTCCTACTGCAGGGGATCTTCCTCACTCAGGGATCGATTCACGTCTCTTATGTCTCCTGCCTTGGCAGGCAGGTGCTTTACCACTGAGCCACCTAGGAAATCCCAGGGAAGAATGGCTAATTCTAATTAATATGTGTTATCGCTCAAACATGTAAACACATATACCCTGCAAAAACAGAAAAATAATTATTAGACGCAGTCAGTCTGATCTCCAGGTCATGTTATTTGGAGAAATCTTCTGCCTCAAAATCCAGGCTTATTCAGCTCTCCTATAATTACTTCCAGGTCTGAAAATTAGATAGTCAGGCACCAAAGAGGGATTCGAACTAGGAAGACAACAGATATACTCACTTCATGGATCATCCTACATGAGTGCAAGAATAAGACATTTCAAACAAAGCTAAGAAACTCAGGATATGATGCCACCTTAGGGAGAGGCAGGAGGCAGTCAGTAGTGTGTATCTATGGGGTAACCAAGAAAGAAGAGGCAAAGCTGAGGGTGACTAATAGCAGAAGATTGGGATGGTGACCCCTAAACAAACAGGACCTCCTGGTACATAATTTTATGATGATGCTGTGGCCACTTTCCTTGCTCCCTTCAATTCACACACACACAGCCCCTACACCCAGCCAGCTCTCAGGCCGGTCCTGGCCCCCACCCCTGTCCTTCCAGACGATCTGAGCCAGGTGCACCCGCCCAAGGTGGCTGTGTTCGAACCCTCGGAAGCAGAGATCTCCCGGACCCAGAAGGCCACGCTCGTGTGCCTGGCCACGGGCTTCTACCCCGACCACGTGGAGCTGACCTGGTGGGTGAACAGGAAGCAGGTCACCACTGGGGTCAGCACGGACCCTGAGCCCTACAAGGAGGACCCCACGCGGGAGGACTCCAGATACTGTCTGAGCAGCCGGCTGAGAGTGACCGCCGCCTTCTGGCACAACCCCCGCAACCACTTCCGCTGCCAAGTCCAGTTCCACGGGCTCACGGACGAGGACACGTGGGAGCAGAAGGACAGGGCCAAGCCCATCACCCAGAACATCAGCGCCGATGCCTGGGGCAGAGCAGGTGAGCCGGCCGGGAGGGAGTCAGAGCCGACAGAGGAGAGATCCAGGGAGAGGAGCGGGAAGGCTGGACACAGAGTGAGGGGTCGGGGAGCCCACCGAGAGGGTGGACAGGGCACCTCCTCGGGCTAACTCCTCCCCCAGGTCCAGATCCTCCTCCCAACTCAGCGGTGCTGGTGGGTCCCCTCCCTGCCCGCCTGCACAGCTCAGGGTCTCAGGGGTGGGTCCCCATCCCCTTCAGTGCTGCCTCCTCCCATGACTCTGAGGATGCTGTGGCCACATTGGTACAGGCAGTGCTAGGACTCTGATCAGAGGCTGCTCTGAGCCTGGGGGCCGGTGCTGACTGAAAGCTAACTTAGTAGGTCTTCTTCATCTATTTGTTTTGTTTTAAGCATCTCAAAATACCACATATTTATTATTGCTTGGTTTTAATGTATCAGGAATCTGGGCATAGCTTAGCTGGCTCATTTATTTCAAGATGCTACAATCAGATGTCAGCCAAAGCTGGAGTCTTCTCTGAAGGCTTGGCTGGGGCAGGATCCATTCCTTCGTTCATGTGGTTGTTGCCAAGATTTAGCATCTTGCCAGCTATTGGACTGAGGAAGGCTGGCTTAGCTTTGAATCTGCTTTAGAAGATGCAGTCTCTCATCCGTTTTCCTCCCCCTTTTTTCTTGCAGACTGTGGTGTCACTTCTGGTGAGTAACCTTCTGCTTCTTTGTCTCCATCTCCATGGTCATTTCTCTGGAACCAGAGACAGAGAAGCCATGGACACTGGTTGAGGGGGAGGAGGCCAGAGATACCTGCTCACAGGTACCTACCTGCTCTCCCTTCCTGCCAACAGCATCTTATCAGCAAGGGGTCCTGTCTGCCACCCTCCTCTATGAGATCCTGCTGGGGAAGGCCACCCTGTATGCTGTGCTGGTCAGCGCCCTGGTGCTGATGGCCATGGTGAGGAGGGGGCCAGGATGGGGCAGGCAGGTTGGAGGTGACACTTGAAATGCGGCAACACAGACCTAGGAAGGTAGAGGCCCCACCAGGACCAGAGGTGGGCAGAGAGGAGGAAGGGGTTCACCCACATGCCTCGGAAGACACCTTGCACCTGTGTGATCACAATGGGAGAGCCGTGCTGGGGAGGAGAAACTGGGGTCACCAGAAAACCCAATGGATGGATGTTGGGAGGAGACCTGCTGTTTGTCTTGTCAGTGGGACACCCTACCTCCTCTCGGTCCCCAGCACTCCTGGCTCCTTGTAACCCTCACACCTTCTCTTCCTCAGGTCAAGAGAAAAGATTCCTGAAGCCAGCTTAGAAGTGGAGCCAGGAGCTTCCAGCCTGTTGCTGCCCTGATGTGAATTCTGCTTTTCCCGTTCCTACCCAGCGCTTCTGAAGAACTGCCCTCATCTCTGGACTCAGCCCAGCATCCACTCCCATGTGTGGGTGCCCCAAACTAGGGCGGACCAGGATCTCCCTGACCCAGGGGAGACCCTAGGGGGGCTGAACTTCCTGAACCAATAAAAATGGCCTGTTGTGTTATGAGTGTCTCCTCACCTCTTCTGTCCATCTCTGAAGTCCCATGTGACTCCAGTCAGGGTATAAACAAGAGCTATTCAAGGGAAGTACAGTCCTTTCAGGTAGGAGGTGTGAGGGGCCCAGCCTGTGATTGGCACTGCTCCTTCTTGTCAGGAAGGGGGTGTGAAGGAAGGAACGTGTGACGGGGGGTGACTGGTGAAGGGAGAGGCTTACTCTGGAGCAGTCTAGGAAAACGCTGATGTTAACGCTGGGAATGTTCTGCCCCACTTAGTCAAAGGCGCGCTGAGGCAGAGCCGACCCGCACCTGTGTCTGCCTGCCACGTGGTCATGACCTCGTGACCAGCAAAGGTCAGAGTCACTTGTGTCACGGATGCAGTTTCCCTGAGGGCACTCACAGCGCAGCTGCCTTCACCACCAAGGAGTGTTTCCAGGAGAGAAGAAAAGTCACTGACTTGGGACTCTGCTTTCAGTAGCAAACGTGTCTTCTAGTTTAAGTTATAAATCCAGTTATCAATTTCACTCAAGTGAATTAAGTAGATGTGAAAATGTCCCCTGATGAGTCCTCGGAGGATGGAAAATAAAGCTCCCTAAAACCAAGGATCAGCCCTCTTGCTATTTCTAGAAATCCTTCCAAAGCTCTTTATTGTCACACGGTCACCATGGTGACTTAACCCAAAGCCCTCAAAACGGCATAAAAGAACCACCGTTGTCCTCCGTCTCTTTGTCTAATGTCTCCTCACCTCTTCTGTCCATCTCTGAAGTCCCATGTGACTCCAGTCAGGGTATAAACAAGAGCTATTCAAGGGAAGTACAGTCCTTTCAGGTAGGAGGTGTGAGGGGCCCAGCCTGTGATTGGCACTGCTCCTTGTTGTCAGGAAGGGGGTGTGAAGGAAGGAACGTGTGACAAGGGGTGATTGGTGAAGGGAGAGGCTTACTCTGGAGCAGTCTAGAAAAACGGCAGTGTTGCCTCTAGGAACTTGCTTTCCTACCTGGACAAAGGTGCTCCGAGGAAGAGCTAAACCACACAGGTGTGCCCGCTGCAGAGTGGTCATGACCCCAGGGTGCTCATTTCAACTCTCTCACCAGGAGCATTTCTAGGCTTGGTTCACCACCAAAGAGTGTTTCCAGCTGGAAAGAAGAAACATCACTGACTTGGAAATCTCTGCTCAGCAGCAGATGTGTCTCTGGGTTAAGTTACAAAGCTAGTTATAAATTTCACTCAGGTGAATTAAGTAGATGTGAAAATGTCCCCTGATCACTCCTGTGCTCAGTCAGTTGTGTCTGACTCCTTGTGACCCCATGGACTGTAGCCCGCCAGGCTCCTTTGTCCATCTTAATTCTCAGGCAAGAATACTGGAGTAGGGTGCTAATTCCTACTCCAGAGGATATTCCCAACCCAGGGATCAAACCCACGTCTCTCATGTCTCCTGCATTGGGAGGCAGATTCTTTACCACCTGGGAGCCCTGCAAGACACCTGGGAGGGAGCCACCTGGAAGGATAGAAAATAAAGTTCCTAAACCCAAGGATCAGCCCTATTGCTGTTTCTAGAAATCCTTCCAAAGCTCTTTATTGTCACACTGTCACTATGGTGATGTAACCCAACGTCCCCAGGATGGCATAAAAGACCCACCATTGCCCTCCACCTCTGTGTCCACACTCACCCTCACTCCTGTACCCCTGAGCCTTCTGAGCCACTGGCTCTCAGGCCATCCTGCACTCCTCTGCCTGGAATGACACCTACACAAACTCCCACTCATCCTTGCAGGCTCAGCGATGACATCTTCCCCAGCTAGTAGCCTTCTCTGGAGCATCCTTGCCCCTTACTCCGTGAGACTGCATGAAATGCCCTCTGTGCTTTGCTATCACTGTGCCCTGTGCCCACTTCCTTCCTGCTATCAACCTCACTTGATGGAAACTACCCCTTTCATTGTCTGACACCGCCACTTGAAGGTCACCTCCTTGAGGACTAAGTAGTGTTTTATTACAGTATCTTTGAGATGTAGCATATATCTTGGTTCAGTGTACTCACCCAATAAATTATCTTTAAAGAAATGAATAAATCAGAGAGCTCACCCAAAGTGACCCAATTCAGGAGCAGATATCACCTTCAGGCCTTCCTGCACAGACAGTGACACTCTCCTCCCCCACAGGCCTGCAGCACACAGCCTCCTCAATCTAATGCATGCATGCATTCTAGCACAAGTCTTTGCGTATATACCAACAAACACGCATACACACAAGTCAGCATATGTGCATCAGCAGAGTAGACTACGCATTAAGTACATGTCATTGCAATGTTTATCAGTAACCTTCAAAAAAAAAAAAAGATATCCAAGCCACAGCCCCCAAGAAGTTTCCCTATTCTTTAGGGGGATAATTCATGGGTGGAAATGCTTAACATACAGCAGTAATGGTCCACACTTAATGCCTGAATAGCAGCAACATGAACTGTGTACTGAAAAGTGGGCAGAAGCTGGCACTCGGCTTCTGACTGGGACCATCAGGGAGAGTCTAAGAAGGTGGCAGACTCTTCACAGGAAGAGTTGGTCTCAGTTATCCAAGTGGGAGAGAGGTCATGAGAGTCAGACGTATGAATGGGATAGGAAACTACAGGGTCAGGGACCTTGCACTCAGCACTCAGGTCCTTGCACTCAGCTGGCTGTGAGGTTCAGAGATGGCAGTCACAAGTCTGCAAAGGCAGGTTGGGCTTCCCGCTCTGAGGGTGGACTCTATCCTTGTTGCAGCATGAGGCAGGCATATAGTAGACGTGCATTAAACATCTGTGCCCTAGTGAAGGGAGAGGAGCCCATCCAGGAAGCCAAGGGCAGGTGCAGAGCTGTGAGTCCTCCCGCCCTGAGCTGACATCACCTGCCCTGTGGATGGTCCTCCCACCCACCTCTATAAATGCCCGCCTGCACAGGTGGGCACAGAGAGTCCCAGAGGGGAGCCCTGATGACATAGGAGACCTCCTCGGGGTGGCATCTGTTCCAGGAGGGGCCTCCCTGCCCCCCTCCCCCACCACTAGCACCCTACCCTTCCCCAAGTCCCACCCCCCCGCAGTGTACCCTGAGTCTGTCTGCTCTCACCCCATCAGTCAGACCAGGCTCTGCCACCTGCACTTCCGGCCTCTGCCCAGTAGCTGGAGGAGGGGCACCAGAGGAGAGGACATTTTTGTATCACAGTGTAACATCGTGGGACTGGGGGGGTGGGCACGATGATTCAGTTAGAGGAAGTACTTTTACAAAAAGCCCTGCCTCAGAAAATAGACCCACGCCGCTCACCGGGAAGCTAGCCCCCAGCTCAAGATGGGGAGAATGGCTGGGAGAAGTCCCTGGAGCGGGTCCCTATGTGGTCTCACAGGGACCTGGACTCTGATCACCTCTGCCTCTCCCTCCTCCACACTCAGCTTCCCAGGAATGTGAAAAATCAAGCCGTCAGAGTGGGATCTTCACAAAACTTGACCTTGGACAAAGTACTTGAAGCTGTGTTATTTGTTAAGCACTCACAACAACCCCCAGGGAAGATATTACCCCATTTTTCAGATGGAGAAACTAAGGCCAGGGAGGTTTCAGGTCACAGAAGTAATAAGAGGCAGGGTCTAGCCTGAAACACTTCCCAGTCCAGCAAAACCTCCACTCCTAGTGCCCCTTCCAATTTCACCACCATGTAAGCCCCCAAGTCTGCAAAACTGGGGGTGACCTCATGTCCAGACCACTTGTCCACTAGTTCTGGAGGTAGGTCGACGGGGAGAGAAGCCAGGGAGGAGAAGGAGGGTGGCCCCAGACTGTTCCAGGGGAGGAGGGGAAGACGGAGGAATTCTTGGCAGCCCCTTCCCACTGTGCTCCTATGAGGAGCAGCACTTCGGGCCAGGGACCAGGCTCACTGTGCTAGGTAAGAATGCTTCTCCAGGGGGAAGGAGGGTGGAATGCCCAGGCTAGATGATCCCCCCAAAGCCAGGGTTTGGGGGAGTGGGCGCTGGAGCCTCCCTGGCTGCTCTCTGAGAAGGCAAAGTTTGCTCCTGGGTCCCCAGGGCTGTGTGAACACCGCGCAGCTGTACTTTGGAGCTGGTTCCAAGCTGACTGTTCTGGGTAAGGAGGGCAGCTGGGGTCCCTGAGTGTTCCCTAGGGAGGGATGCGGAGAGGAGGGCGGCTGCCTATCTCCCTTCTGGGCTGCGCTCAGGGTCGGTGGGGACCTGGGCTGAGTCGGGGCATCAGAGAAGGGCAGCGCTGGTTTTTGTCCTGAGTCCCGGGGCTGTGAGCCAAAGCACTCAGTACTTCGGCGCGGGCACCCGGCTGTTGGTGTTAGGTGAGCTGGGACGACCCCGGAGACCAGAGGGATGGGCGGCAGGTTTTTGCGCGGGGCTAGGGGGCCGTGACTCAGAGACGCAGTATTTCGGGCCGGGCACGCGGCTCCTGGTGCTAGGTGAGTGCGGGCGGCTCGCCTCGATTTTTTTGTGGGGCGCCCCGGTGCCGCCCTGACCTCCGGGGCCGGCGGAGCGCTGACCGCGGTGGGTGAGTGTCGGCGCGCTGGCCGCGGGCGGCAGAGTCAGGGCGGGTCGGATCGGGGCACTTGGTCCCCTCCCTGCGCTGGAGCCGGGCTCTGGGTCCCGGAGGGCGAGCTGCTATGCTCTGAGGGGTTTGCTTGCGGGACTGGGACTCTGTGAGCCAGAGAGCGGTATTTTGGCGCCGGCACCAGGCTCACAGTCACAGGTGAGATCTGAACACCTCCCTGCCTTCTCTTCGCGGCCTCTCTTGTCCCCGGAGATGAGTGGGGTGGGCTGGAGTGTGTGGCCACGTTGTCCACCTGTAGAGTCAGCTCTACAAGGGATGAGGGGCCAGGACTGGGGTTCTCATAGTCCTGGAACAGAGAGGTAGGGCAAGGGGGGGCTTTGGGTTTTTTTGCTTTTTCCTTGAGATATTAGGGACTTGGTGAGCCATGGCGAAAAACAGAATTTATTAGGACTCTGAGAGCTGCTTGATTGGGGAAAAAGACTGAGGAGGGC